GATGCAGATTAAAGGCAGGAAGATTGTGAGTGAGCCCACCCACCCCAGCCACAGACTGTTCTCTCTGCTGCCGTCAGGGCGGCGTTACTGCTGCCCGAAGGCAAACACAGAGAGGATGAGGAGGAGCTTCTTCCCTCAGGCTGTCCACCTGCTGAACCTGATACAGAAGACTCAATAACAATCCAACCGGTTACTACTGTATATATACATACAGATAGTATTATTATTTTCTTTATTTAGTTCATTTCCTTTTTGCACTGTTTGACAATTAGATGTATTTGTTTTTGCTTATTTCTCTCTCTCTCCAATAAAAGCTTTGAATCTTGATATTGCCTACAGATGTACTCACCTTTGTAGTATGAAGTACAGCAAATATCTAGTTAAAGTGATTCCAAACAGAACTGAATTTCTAACCTTGGCAGTGTCAGCACTCTTTGGGTCGACCCAAATATATTTACCCTACTGACTGTAGTGTTTGACAGCTGATGTCAGAATCAGGAAAATATTGTGGAAAACTCTGCAGGACTTGACGTGTTCATATTCAAACATAATGACCAGCGATGGTTTGGTTATGAACAAATTCAGCATCAGCCCTCAGGAACATGTCAGTCAAACACACCCACAGGTCAGATGAAGTTGATTTGATTTAATCCAGTCTGTGAAGCTGTCAGCAGTTGTCAACCTCTGCCTCATTAAATGCCTATCAGCCTCTGCTGTACATTCAGTGGCTGATGCGGTTTGCATGTTGTTCTGTCTGTGTGTGAAAAATGTCAATGTTTAACCGATCCTGATAGAATATCCCACTCATCATTGTGACGACGCACTCCATCATGGCCCAGTGCAGACACTATTAAGGATGGAGAGATTAAACACTTAGTGAAGAAGGTGTTTATTTATGTAACGTGAAATAACCAGGTGAACTACAGTACACAGGGATAAAAACAACAACAATTGGCAAACCAAACAAGCCAGGGGAGTGGGTATGGGAGAACAAGCAAATTAGCAAACCAAACTAAAGACTAAATTAATGGAACCTCAACACTGAAAACCAAAAACCCGAAACTCACAGGGACAAACACAATACACATGGAACTAGCGCTATGTGATGACATATGTTGTGAACTGTGCTATACAAATAAAATTTCATTGAACTGAGATACGCGGCTATAAATCTAAAGGGAAGACATAAATTACCGGAGAAGCGAGGAGGCAGGGCAGGGGATAATAATAAATACAATAGGCTACACACGGAGCAGACATGCATCATTACTGACTGAACTGGAAACAGAACTAAAACTGAACAAAACTAGTAACACAAGACTATGAGAGCTACAGGGAATACATTGAACAGAAGACAAGCATAGACTGAATTGACAGTGGAAAAGAAATATCACTGACAAAGGCTAGGAAAACTTAACTGGGTGATCGGGGCTGGAAAGGAGGCACCATGAAGCACAGAATGGTGTGTAAGTAGAGGGATGACTAATGCGGCGTCCGGAGGGTTGAAGGAGGCAAGTGAACCGGGTAGCTTCTTCCAAGTCAGAA